GTTTCAAACAGCAGACCCATAAACTTTGGGAACCCAACCCATTTGTAAGTTCAGGCTGTCGTGACATTCTAAATGTTCCTTAACAAAAAAGTCGACTTCTCTGTAACTCTGCTCTCTCTCAATCCTGCAGTACTGTCTCTCATTTTTTAAAATCCTACATATGGATAGATTTTCTTCATTTTAAACAGAAAAGTTGATTTCCCACTGTAATTTGATCCAAATTCAATACCAAACAATACAATGTACTGGAAATCTCAAGTTTCCTTTTTGACTTCTATTATTCTTTAGTGTCATCACTCCCTCTAGAGGTAGAAAATGTGAATGAACTACCAACTGTAATTCTAGTAGGTTTTTGAATCAATAAACCATAAACACAAGTTAAAGAAAAAAGTTAACTTTCTCCTCGGGCAAGTGTTAACTGGAAAAAAATTTACTCACTGTAACTTTTACAATAAATAGTGAATTTCCTATTGTCATTCAAGTAACCAAATAAGCCCATCTAATGTTTAATATAAGGATCATATAGCCTCTTATGAGACTAGTATGGAGTACAATATTTACATATGAGAACAGTAGGAATTATAGAATCAATAGGCTCAACCTTACTTGAGAGTCTAGAACGCATATCTGAGTCACACGAGTAGCAGATGTTAGGTTTAATGTCAAATTTGCTATGAAAATGCAGGAAGCAAGGGGACAGTGCTTTTTCTTGTAACTGGTACAGCATACAGTATTTAGGAGGCCTAATGTTTAGATGCAATGGCTCATAAATAGATGACAGGTAGCAAGATCTAATTCCATCTTTTTCTAACTCATAGAGTAAGACTTCAGGCTTGTTAATTTTATTTACTCCTTGTTTAACCCAGAGAATCTCAACCCTGGTAGCACGTTACAATGACCTGGGGAGTTTTAAAAGATTTATGCTTGGGCTTCATCCCAGAAAATAAATTAGAGAATCTTTCCGGGTGAACCAGGGTATCAGTAGTTTAAAAAAGCTACTCAGCTAAAACTATAAAACTTTACAGGAAAATGTAGGGGAAAATCGGCATGACACTGGATTTGGCAATGATTTGTTGGATATGACATCAAAAGCACAGGCAACACACAGAAAAATAGGTAAGTTGAACTTCATCAAAATTAAAAACTTCTGGGGCGGGCCCGGTGGCGTAGCGGTTAAGTTCACACGCTCCGCTTTGGTGGCCTGGGGTTTGTGGGTTTGGATCCCGGGCACAGACCGATGCACTGCTTGTCAAGCCATGCTGTGGCAGTGTCCCATATAAAGTAGAGGAAGATGAGTATGGATGTTAGCCCAGGGCCAGTCTTCCTCAGCAAAAAAAGGAGGACTGGTGACAGATGTTAGCTCAGGGCTAATCTTCCTCACAAAAAAAAAAAAAAAACAAAAAAACTTGTGCAGCAAAAGACACTATCAAGAGAGTAAAAAGGCAACCCATGGAATGAGAAAAAACACTGGCAAAACATATACCTGATAAGGATTAATATCCAGCATACATGCACACGAAAAGATAGTCAACATCACTAGTCATTAGGGAAATGCAAATCAAAACTACAATAAGATACCATTTCATATTCATTAGGATGGCCATTATCAAACAACAACAACAACAACAAACAAAACAACAAGTATTAGCGAGAATGGGAATAACCCTTATGAACTGCTGGTGGGAATACAAAAGGGTGCAGCTGCTGTGGAGAACAGTATGGTGATTCCTCAAAAACTAAACATAGAATTACCATATGATCCAGCAATTCCACTTCAGAGTATATACCCAAAAGAACTGGAAGCAAGGACTTGAATAGATATCTGTACAACCATGTTCACAACAGCATTATTCACAACAGCCAGAAGGTGTAACAACCCAAAATGTCTGTGATGAATGAATGGATAAACAAACTGTGGTACACACATACAACTGAATATTATTCAGCCTTAAAAAGGAAAGAAATTCTGATACGTGCTGAAACATGGAAGTACCTTTAGGAGACTATACTAAGTGAAATAACCTAGACACAAAAGGACAAATACTGTATGATTCCACTGATATGAGGTACCTAGAGTATCAAATTTATAGAGACAAAAAGTAGAATGGTGGTTGCAAGGGGCAGGTGGTGGGGGTAATGGGGAGTTAGGGTTTAATGGGTACAGAGTTTTAGTTTGGGAAGATGAAAAAGTTCTGAGATGGATGGTGGTAATGGTTGCACAACAATGTGAATGTACTTAATGCCACTGAACTGTATGCTTAAAAATGATTTGTCATAAATTCTGTTATGTATTTTACCACAATTAAAAAAAAAAGCCACTCAGGCAACTCTAACTTGTAGCCAGAGCTGAGACCCAGTGATCCAAAGACCAAGCAGAGAAGCCGAGGACGGGAAAGCGCAACAAATTAACACGAAAGTACGTCCAGTAACAAGTGAGTGTATCTGGTTTCCGACAGGAGAAAGAGAAAAATCTATAATCTGAGATGTGTTTATAAATTAAATTCTATCATTTCACAAATATTAAAGTGGTCTGTTCTTTCCTCTGGAGAAAACATTACCTTTTCATATTGGTCCTCTTCAAAATCTTAGTAACATTCACATTCTTTCTGTAATAACTTTATAATAGGATCTTCTACATAACAGACACGAGACTTGATTGAGGGTTTATGGGCTAGAAGTATGTGATATATGCTTTATCCACTAATTTCATTTATTCCTCAAAGCCACCACCAGAAAGCTAATAAGTGGCAGGGTTGATACTAAACTCAGGTCTGTCTGCCTCTTACTATCTCTTTTTCTTAGCCCATTACCTCGACATTATCCACATATTCATGTCATCAATGTTCTTGCTACCTTCTCCTTAACTCCTCCAACCAACTCTTCTCTAACTGTAAAGTCCAGTTGACATGCTATATCATCCAGAGACTTTCCTGAAGTCATCCACCAGAAAGCCAGAGCATTTAATCTCCACCTTTCTTATGAGAAGGCTGCATTATTATTATAATTTATGTAGCTATCTCGTAATGCCTAGGAAGATGCTGAGCTAGCATGACCGCTGCCTCCCGTTAAGATAGCTCTGGAGACATTACAGAGGGAAACCACCAAACAAAAGAAACCTATAGAGACACCTGGGATGGTCTGAATGTGTGTGCGTATGCAGGACGGAGGGTAGTGCCCCCTGGCCTGGGGCAGGAGGCACGTGCTTATGGGGAAGATAAAACAGGAGGAAGGAGAACAAGAAATGTGAAATTCTGCTCTCGCTCCTCCCTGCCCTTTGCCTTTGCCTTGTAGGAACAGTGCAGGCCGCCTCACTTGCACAAACCGAGAACTCTGGTCTATGCTCAGGAGTAAAGTCAGGGCAGTCTAAAAAGTTCTGCTGTGAGAAGCTGCGAGAAACAGGTGGGACCCAACCTCTGGCAGCTGCCTTCCCACTCCTCTCTCTCCAAACTCCAGAGCTGATGAATTACACTCTAAGATTAGAGTACAGCCTTTAAATGCTGCTTCTGCCTGGCCCCTCCCCAAAGGAGGGGGAGCTATAACGAGATGGTGTCTTGTGATAAGTAACCACAGTCTTATGTGCCTGGGTTAACAACCCCAGAGCTTACCCGCCTTTATCCCTTGAGGTTATCATTGGGGCTGACAGGCTTCCACAGTGGTTCTCAACCAAGCTACACATCAGAACAACCCAGGGAGCTTTAAGAAACAGGGGCTTGGATGGTCCCAGTTTTTCAAGTGTCCCCAGTGATTCTAAAGTGCAGCGAGAGCTGACACTCACCAGATCCTGGCCTGTCCTTTATCCTTTGGCATTATTGGACAATAGCCAACACTCACTAAGACAAGACATTTGAGGATCGTAAGTATTTCATAGAAGAAAAACAAAGTAGATCATAAATTACATCAAATGCAGAAAGGACAGAACTGATTAAGAATTTAAACTTCTTATAATAGTAAGATTGGAGTGCAAAAGAAGAAAAACAATGCAGAAATATTAAGTATAAAGAATATAACAGCTGAACTAAAAAACAAAATAGATAGGATTGATAATGAATGTACATACCCGAGGAATGAATGAGCTGGAAGACTAGATTGAGGTAATCTCCCAGAAGGAAAAAGGAGGAGACAAAACACCAGAAAAGATACTTTTGGAAGACTAACAACCACATAATAGATGTCCCAGAAAAAGGAAAAACGATGGTGAGGAGAACAAAGCTGAACAAATAATGGAGATAATTTCTCCAGAATAAGGTGAAAAAGCTCAGAATAAGGTCAGCTCTTAGAGTATCAAAAAAAGAAAAGAAAAACCCACACCTAGGAACATGGCATTAAAATTTAGAATATGAAAGACAAAAGATTTTCAACAGAATGCAAAGCACAAAGCAGATATATAATAAGTGTTTGTAAAAAATCAAAAAATGCATGAAATAAAGACATCATCAGATCTTTATGAGGGAGTTATTATACCAGATCCAATTCCACTAGGGAAAAAATAACATGATTAAAATAAGTGTTTATGGTGAGAATGGAATAAGGACATGAATGTTAGATGCATGAATGTTAGTCAAGTGTCCTATACCCCGAGACTATTCATTGAAATTCATCTTGGGCAAAGTAAGGTCCTATCCGTCTGTATATTTCTATTTAGGCTACTATTTCAGGAATACCTAAAATGTCTATTCTCAAGGTAGGTTTTAGTAAAGACAAATCTTGGCTAGTTTAGGTGTGTGCATCTGAAACACTACACACGCGATCATCCTTTCAGGACTTATAATTAAAAGCCCAGAGCGCTACTTATGTTTATGTATGTCAGGAGCTGTGGAGACGAAGAGGATGAAACAGGCATGGATTTAACTGCCAAATACTTCCAGTTTTCTAATAACAGTCAAAACCAGGGACTTCTCATAAACACGTTCTCAATTAAAGAAATACCCTGTATCTCTTTCTGCCCATTCTTTGTAACAGTTATGCCAGAGGCTCAGAGAAGTTCTTTGGCAATGGCTTACCTGGTCAATGTCAGCATTTCTTGGAAGAAAATAAACAATATTATTAGTGATCTTCTGGGAAAGTCTGAAAATTTCAAAGGTGGACAGCATTAAGGAAAAAGTAACAAAAGCAGCAGTTAATTTCTGATCAGAGAAATGTTCTTTACTTATTATAGCATAACCCAAATGTATTTTGATATGTAATAATAAGGCACACATTTAAATCCTCTAATGGAATCTAAAAGAGAATTAAGTAGGAGATTTTGTAATTCAGCAGCATGCTGTCCCTGATAGGTCAGAAATTAGAAGTTAAACTTTTTTATTCAATTATCCTAGTGGTAGGCAACCAAGAGTGAGAAATACACACGCTTTCTCTTTCTGCCATTTCCTATAGATGAGTAACTCTGTCCATTGTAGTCTACATTCTAAATTTTAATTAGCAATTTAGAAACACATTTCCTGTTAGAGTCAAAGAGATGATTCCTCTGTGGAGTAGAGACAAAAAAAAAAAAGGGATAAATAATAAATAAATGCTATTCTTTATGAAATAAAGGTTTGCTTCAGTATCTTGAAGAGTAACAGGAAAAATCTGAAGATATACAGAGAATTTTCACAAGTCACTGTGAGTTGAAAAGTTAAGGGATAAGCACCCAGACTTTAGGGACACATCTTGAGGAAATTCCCAATTTCCAGACAATAACTCCACACAATTAATGCTTTCTGGTTCTTGTTCTGTAATGGTAACATTGGATAGCAACCAAAGGAAATATGACCTTACATTTGCCATAACTTTTGGAGATCACTAGCTAATTTTTACATACTTGCTTTTTATGGAAAACAAACTGGAATCTATCAAGCGCTATTAGCTAATATCGCTCCTTTTCACTAACTTCTTTCTCTCTCTTAAACACACACACGTGCACACACACACCCCTTTCTCTCCACAACCACTGTTTGAGTAAACTCTTAGGCCTTTCAAAGGATATCCATCAGGAGACATCATTGTCCTAATGTCAAAAGTCTCTGCAGTAGCGTAGTCGGGCCCTCCCCAAGGCGGGCTGAGGAACACAACATCAGCCTTTAAATGAGAAGCCAGCAGCAGGAAATCTCCACAGATGAACTCTATCTTGTCTGCTATCCCATAAACTTCCGCATTATTGCGAGCAAGATCAATCTTAACAGGATCAATATCAATGGCAATCACTAAAAATGGGAACAGGAAAGATGAGTAAATGATACTGATTATTAGTTACATAGAACAGTTCACCTTCTGAACAGTCTGTTTATTTTCTGTACAACGACCTTTTTTTAAAGACTAAGGGAGATTGGGCCACATGTGCCAGAGAGAGAGAATTTAATTAAAAATTTTAATCTAAATTAGAATGTTTCTCTTGTGTTGTACCAAGAAAATGTGAGTGAAGGACCTGGTTTTCAGAGTTGACTCACTGAAACAGCTTTACCAAAGCAAGTCGCACTAGCTGCCACCAAGTATCTACTGAAAGCCAAACACGTGGTCGGCCCTGGGCTCCATGCAGGGTACAGGCTGCGGAGCAAACACGCGGGAAAGTCACCCACTGCCCGTACAGCCTATAAATGCTAAGATTTCAGAAAAGACCAATTTCCTCAAAATGAGGCAACCTCCAAAGGAAGATAAATTTGACAACTTCTACAGAAAACCAAAATAAAACACATTTTGACAAACCTGTATAGCCACCTTATGAAGAAGAAATGCAAAAACATCTGCTGATGATGTTTAATGAGACATTTTAGGTAGAAGGAATAGACAATGTTATGTTTTCACCAAATGGGCTTTCATTTAATTTATTGAAATTTCATAATTAGCAATGCAAACATGAGTTAATTTTAGCTCACTCATGTCTTGCAGTAAATTACTCAAGTGCACCTCTATGTGCACCAGTGTGTTCATGGCAATATTTTATATTTGGAAGGGCTAAGTGGAACCCTGATGCATAAACCATGGCTGTCAAGGAAACAAAGCTGTTTTCCAGAAAACGCCGGTTTCAAAATTTGTTAACACTTTGAAAAATAATGTGTTAAGTAAATCACTAGAACAATGAATACAAGCATCAATTATATGTTGCAAAATCATGCATTTCCAACGCCATTTTTTGTGTTCTAAATAAACTAACATTCATATTTATAAGAGGAAGGATGAAAATGTCCTTTTCAGCTGCTCAATCTGCTACATTTATAGCACAGAGACAGAGGGAAAGATATGCTGACAATACCAAAAAGTCAATGGAAAAAATGACTTTCAACATCAAATATATTCAGTTAATCCTCATGTTTTCATCTGCACTTCTCTTGGAGGCTGACTTTGTTTTTAGGTCTCACAGAATGCAAGCACTCAATCCATCACATAAATGAAACGCTGACAAATGCTGGATGATACTATACAGAACCGTACCGTCTGATAACAGCAGCCACTAGCCACATGTGGCTATTACCCTTAAATTGATTAAAATTAAATAACAGTAAGAATTTAAATCCTCAGTCACACCGCCACATTCAAATGCTCAATAGCCACATGTGGCTAGTGGCTACCACACTGGAGAGTGCAGATACAGAACATTACCATCATCACAGAAAGTTCTACTGGATAGCATTGAGGCAGAACTACTGGAATACATAGAAAGGGAAAAAAAATCTTTAACAGCAGCAAAATGCAAAACTTTGTGGATTCTCTAACCATTCAGTTGGTTATATGTGCAGACAGCAACCGCATGGAAATAAGTTTGGCACAAAGGGCTCATGTCAACTATACACAATGCCATTTTCTCATATATGTATGTCTACATGCATGTGTGTGTGTGTATATAAACACACACACACACGCACAATACTTTGTTTTTAATTCCCTACCATAATGTAGTCAGCTCAACCACACTAGGGGTAGCATATCTAACTAACATTAGCGGACCTGTGAGCTACCACCTCTGGTTTGGGGAGCAGGTCACTGGACACCACTATGCTGAACACGCTTGAGGGCTCCTGAGCTTCGAGTTCCATATGATGCAAGGACAGAAGCCAGGTTATGACAGCACCAGGGAGGCACGGTGTTTGCTGTGTGCATCCTTTTCTTCCCAGAGGCTGGCCATCTGTAAGCCTGAGTGATTAAAAGACCCCGAGCGGCTGTGATGGGAGCTAGGTCTGTGAGAACAGGGCAGAAGCAGTCTCCCTTTAGCTCCACATTAGACATCTTCCTTTACCAAATGTGTACTAAGCTACAGGGTAACAGACCTATATTCGAAGAAATATCAATCTACAATATGGACTGTTTCCATAATATTTTGAAGAAATTTCCAAATCTATTTGCTGCTTTATCTGAGGGCAGATATTTTAATTGTCATGTTACAATACAATGCCAAAATGGAACGGCTTATCTGGCAAAGGCAGAGTAGAACTTTAAGAGTAAATAGTGATTCAGAGAAAATAATACTATTCCAGTAAATATGAAAATAGCTTTCATCGAGGCTACCACATAAAGTTAGCAAATGTCATACCCTGGAGTGTAGGAGAGTTTGAATAAGGGTCACCAGCGTTGGTCTAAAATCAATGTTAAGTTTCTAGCTTCTGTACTATGCTTTTCAGAATCATATGCTTTCCTAGTTAACATTAACAACTTGATATAAATTAATGAGACAACTGAAATTTATTAAAATGGAAGCTATATGTATAATATAAAGACAATGGGAAAAAAAAGCATCTTCAGAGTATGACTTAATTGATGTCTCTAAAATATCACATTATATACCACACTTTAAAGAGAAAGAACAGGGATATCAGATTCAGAAAAAACTGAGTAACGGCCCTGGCTTCACAGCTCAGCTATGTCAATTTGGGCAGACCATTCAATGTTGTACAGCCTTCTTTCCCCAGGGAAACAGCACATATACCACCTACTCGGCACAGTGCCTGACAGATATATAGTAACAGAGGTTTTCTTTCTGGTGATTCCAAAGTCTAACAACCACAAGGATGATCTAATATTTAAAAGATGTTTAGTGTCTCAGAATGTTGAAGCTGAAAGGTATCACAGAGGTTATTTCAATTTAACGTCTCCTTTAAATTAAGGTTAACTGATGTCCCAAGTCATAAAGGTAGTGAGTGGCAAAGCTGGGACCCTGTCTACTCTTCTTGTCTTCTCAACGTTAGGCTCCCATTTTAATATTTTAAGGTTTACATAATGTTATAATCTTGGCTCCACCAAGCTGTGCCTGTGTAATCCTGGGCAAGTTACTTCATCTCTTTCTCTCTCAGTTTATCTGTGAAACGCAGATAGTAAAAGATGCACTTCACAAGACTGTAGACTAAATACATACATATGAAGCGATTATACCAGTGTATGCTTCATATATGCTAGCTATTATAATTTTAAATATATGGCATTAAATTATTAATTATATATTAAAACTCAGCAAAGATCAGCTGAAGCAAAATGAAACATTTACTGAATAAATTGAAAATAAATTACTTTTCTTCCATTGATGGCTAATTACCTCTCTTCCCTGTTAAGGCAAACTGAATGGTATTTCCTCCAACTCCACAAAACGCGTCTACTACAGTGTCGCACTTGAAGGACTGACTGACCCGGCCAGCAATGTGCTCAGCGATCTTCTCAGGTGTAACTGAAAACCAGCCCTCTGTGAAGGAAGAGTACGGCTGTTAAGATGTTCAATTTCAAGAAGCCAACCCAAGCATAAACACAGCAAATATTACTATATATTATATACTTAAAAAAAAAAAACTTAGTTTCTCTTTTAGAAAACTTATAAAGTACCTAGTTTTAAAGAAAAGTTCTACAAAGCTTCTTATAAAAAGTAGTACCATTCCCATTCCCAATTTCCACAGAAGCAATGACTTCAATTGTTGCCTGATTCCTTTGTAATATACTTCCAATAACTGAATGCAATTCCGATTTTTCTGTTTGAAGTATTAACTATTGACTATCTACTACGGAAAATGGGAAGTTAGCTATTCTAATTGGCCAATTCCCCAAACTCCACAGAGTTTCCCAATTATTTCATTCCCAACGGGGAAGCAATGATCTCGATTTGTACTAGACATTTTGGAAAAGTTCGCACATTTCCAAAGGGTCAGGAAAAGCAAAGAGCTGACAGCAAAAGGCTGCAGAGCAGCAAGAACAGCAGAATCCTCATCACTTTCAGAAACGAGGTCCCATGCCCACTCCAGAGGAAAGAGGATACTGCCCTCCTTCTTTCCCAAGAGAAGAAACTTACATTTTTTGGAAAGATATTTCTCTGAATAAAAGGATGTACCAATTTTCTTGTTGCCTTTCCTTACCAAAACTTTAAACGGCTCCTCGTTGCTGGAAGAATAAAAATATAAACTCCTTTCATAGAGTTAAAAGCTTTTACCTAGTCTTACCTCTCCTAACAAATTTCTATGTACTTTCCTCAAAGTACATTTTGTAAATAATTTTATGAGGTTCATAGAACCCCTGAAATTTTACCACAGATCAAGACTTCCTGATTCTGACAGTTAATAAAGATCAATATTTAGGTAGCCCCAATATGAAAATAAGCATCAATTTGTTGAACTAAGTAAGCTGTTCAAGGTCACAGCAGGAAAATGAGAAAGAATTCAACATTTCCAGTGTTAATTCATTAAATTACATCTTTCTGCACTAGGTATTTCTTCATCAGATATTCTGTTTAATAACCTATCAATTCCTTTTGCTATCTACCCTAAGATGCTAGAAATACAGATTAGACCTGAGTCTGAAGTTTTAAAATCACATATATACCCAAATTGAGAGACACTCTAGAAAATAACTGGCTGTTGTTCGTTGGAAAATGTCAGTCATGGGGGGTTGGCCCGGTGGTGTAGAGGTTACGTGTGCATGCTCCGCTTTGGTGGCCTGGGGTCCACAGGTTCAGATCCCAGGCGCGGACCTATGCACAGCTTGTCAGGCCATGCTGTGGCGGTGTCCCATATAAAGTAGAGGAGGATGGGCACAGATGTTAGCCCAGGGCCAAGAAAAAAAGAGGAGGGTTGGCATCAGATGTTAGCTCAGGGCTGATCTTCCTCACCAAAAAAATAAATAAAAAAAATAAAAAATGAAAATGTCAGTCATGAAAGACAAAGAAGGTTGAGCAACTATTCCAGATTTAAGGAAACTAAAGAAACATGAAAACTAAATGTGATACATATCTTATACTAGAAGAAAAAAAATGCTATAAAGGACACGATTACAATAATTGATGAAACTAGAGCACAGACTGTAGATTATAATATTGTAACAATGTTAAATTTATAATTTTACCATTGTTACATAAAAATATCCTTGTTCATAGAAAATACACACTAAAGTATTAAGGAGTAGGGGCAACTGGATCAGGAAAACAGACACACACATATACACACAGAGAGAATGATAAAGCAAATGTGGCAAAATGCTAAAATAGCTGCACCTGGGTAAAGGGATATGAAAATTTTCCCCACATTCTTGCAACTTTTAAGTTTGAAATTATTTCGAAATAAAGTAAAAATTACATATATACTTTACCTCTGTCCAATTTAATCCCATCATCAAAACGGGAGAAGAGCCTGTATCTCTGGGCCCAGTATTTTGCCAGCTCAGGAACAGCAGCTATCTCAGGAGGCAGACCAATTGCCTTTTTGTTTTTGTTTTTCTTTTTCTTCTTCTTCTTCTTTTTAATTTCAGCTACAATAAAAGAATATAAAGAATATAGCTGCTCACTATGAAAACAGGAAATCATAGGTGAATTCATCTAAAAGTGCAGCCACACCAAATAATTATTTGGGATTGTGTTCCAGAACACATATACAATACCACATCTGGAGAAGCAGGAGCGCACAGTGGAAACAGCACTGACTTTCGATGACAGCCTCTAGTTTGCTACTTATTGGCTCCCTTAGCTTGGAAAAGTAGCCCAGGCTCTCTAAGCTCCAATTTTTCATTCCTCAAAAGGAATGAATGAATGAGTAGTATTTTACACACTTACTTCACAGGATTGTTAGGAGATATGTAGAGGTACTATTATGGGTATAAAAGTTATTAGTTCTGTTAGATAAGACACTGCTTTAGTTGGTGAATTATAGAAATCCAAACATTTCCCTTCCCTTCTTTAAAATAAAAACCTCCGAAGGACTGATTAAGCTCCAACTCTCAGCTACATCAATCCCCTGAACCCAGCCATTACCTAGAAGTCAAACGGCCTCTGAGAAATTGAAACATAGGTCACTAGTTCCATTCAATAGAAAAGGAAATCATTCATTCAGAGACTGACTTTTTCTTAGAAAAACGACTTTTATTAGTTTGGTTATTTGGCTTCAGTTCCGAGCAGATTAGAAGTAGCAACTTAGAAAGATGAGAGGGCTATCACAACTAAGTATGGTGACAAAAACTGATGTCGACAAATAAAACTCTATGACATTTAAACAGTCCTCAAGGATAGGACTATATCTTAATATGGTCAGCCGATCATTGCAAATAGCAAAAAGGTGTCATCAACAGCAAAGTGCAGCAAGAGCTTCTCAAGAGAGGGGACACCGACATTTTGAGTGAACAATTCCTTATTGCACAAGACCATCCTGTACACGACTTAACGTTAAGTAATCCACAGTACTAACTGCTAGAATTCCCAGGGTCATTCTAACAACCAACATCTTCCACATGCCCCTGAGATGGTAGCATCACCGCAGGTGAGCACTACCTGATGGTGATGAGTGGTGACGAGGAAGTAGGGCAGAGTGGGAAAAGGGGATTTAGGAATCAGACAACTTGGTACTGAGTCCTAGCTATGCCATTCACGCCTGCCTGATCTTGGGCAAATTTCTTAATTTCTCTGAGCTTTACCTTCCATATTTAAAGAATGGATCTAATTATACCTAGCTCATTGGGCTACTTTACAGGTTAAATGAGAATAAGACCCACAAAAGCATTTCAAAAATCTGCAAGTACCACATGAACATCAGTTGTACGATGACGATAAAAAAAATTTAAACTACCTTAAGTATGCTGTTTAGAGAGGCAAAGAATATGTGATTCAAAGACCATAGGTCTACACACACACACACACGCAACACATAAAGAAAAAAAAACCATGATTCAAATAATGCATTTTCCTCAATACTAAGTTAAAAAAGAAACCATCACAATAAATATAATTGTTTCATTAGGGCAAGTCTGAAATAATTCATCAATAAAACTGAATACTATGTGAAATGAAAATTCTTTCCTTATAAAAGCCTCAATGTTCCATTGAATACAATTATTGTTTTTTAAATTATAAAAGAACATTTGCTGTAAAATAAATTCATATAGTACAAGAGGACATAAGTGAAAATGCTACTCTGCTCTCCGTTCATTATAGCCAACCACTGTAAATACTTGTTTACGTCAATGTACCACCCAAAAAACAAACTACCACTACCAAAAACAACCACCACAAAAAAACAAAAAAATAAAGAATTATCAGAAAGAAAACCAGGGCAATACTAAATTTCAATGGAATAAAAGGGACTGGCCACCTGTGACCCATGGGACAGAGTGCAGTGGCAGAGACCAACCTTAAGAGCAAAGATGGAGGTACTCAAACACCATTTTACCACATACTTGATCTTTTATTTTATTGTGCTCGCTCAGCAAAGAGTGAAGTGCGCTTTGGGCAAACCATAGCCATTAGCACATTTACACTTAATCTGCCTTCTCTCAATTTAAAAATAAATAGCAGTGAATCCTTAGGTTTCACTTCATAAGTGAAAAGTAGGAAAAAACATATTTTAAAAAATGTATTTATCTAAATCCATTAGCAAGTTGAAGCATATTTGGTCTTACCTTCAGTTTCAACCTGAAGAGAATCTGGTACGTCCTGAGTAACATGATCCTCCTTATCTGGAACAGCTGCCACTGTGCTGTCTCCTTCATTTTTTCCTGTTTCAAGTTCACCAGCTAAAGAGATGGCTTGATGCGTTTCAGGTTCTGGATGGCTTGTCTCCAGTGGGTCATCACCTTTTTTAACAGACGTTTCTTGTTCCTCTGAATCACTGCTTGTGCAAGTGTCTTGTACATTGTCACGAGAAATGGACTCCTGCGATGCTTCCTCATCCATTGGTTCATTAACCCATTTTAGGAATTTTTCTACCTGAAATTGTAAGATGTTACAAGCGTGAATTAATTCCAAATTACACAGAATATTCCCAGCTGCTTTACCATTTGTGACTTGACTGACAAGCTGTGTCGCAATTATTAGCTCTGATAAGTATGCTGTATCATACAAGCTAATGTGAGTAAGCAATTTTGAGCTAACCACACTTTATTATCTAAACATGCTATGAACTTATTAAAGATTTCTTAAAAGGAAGAAAATATCAGATTAAACACAAGACTATGACCTTCCTGTTATCAATTAACACTAAGATGATAAAACTGTTCCAGTAGCTTTCCACAAAGGCTTCTAACAATGTAACTGTACTATGTGATATTACAAGTACAAAAGTACCTACCCATTGTTGAATCATTCATTTTAGTTTTTCAAATCATACAGAGCTTTCTGCAATGGCCCAGGCTACAATCTATGTTAAACGGTACTCAGTATCAAAGATGAACTCAAAAAAGTTTTAGCGCCAATCTGTCTCTAAGAATAAAAGCAGTGCTATCTTGGAAAGAATGTGAGCTGCCTTTTAATGAAGCAGTAGAACCAGTAAAATGATTCCTAAAAACTAGGTTTCTTCTTTGAAATGTTAATAAGGCTCAAGATCAGATGATATATACCTCCTTGCAATCTTCTGTAACAAGAGTATTCTTCATAACAGATCTTCATGACCTTCACAAGAGAGGAAATTAGAACAAGAGTGGTAGACAGACGATGGGCATGGATGAGAACCCAGAATCTTCCTTTGAGGGGACTGTGCCTATACATCAATCAGATATCTAAGGGCATAACAGCCACATTTATTTTTTTCCTCAGCAATACTTAGCAGTTATGTTTCTGCTCTTCATCTACAGATGAATATACGGGGACTATCACATCCAAAACATTATAAAAAGTCCTACAGGACTGATTGGACTGATACAGGGAAATCTGTTCCAGATATAGCCAGGGCCACTAAAAAATTAAACTATCACCAGCAACCAACCAATCTGAAATATAATAAAACTGAAATCAGCTATAAATTTTGGAGCATGGCTTGGAAGAATGCTGAAGGTAGGGATGATCATGTACGTATCCTAAGAGTAAAGCAAAGTCCGCACTGGCTCTGAGATTTTGTTCCATTGCCCTAAAGAGCTACTGGAGGTGTGAATGAGACAAAGGTTCTGCTCACTAGAAGGTGCTTTTTTTCAATGATGCAGAAGAATCGCTCATCACACCGAGCAAAAGCAACTGTAATTATGCTTGTTTTCCACGTAGTTGGGTGGCAGGTACAGCAGAGTACAGGAGAGAGGATGTGAATATTCCAGTTAACAGTGTGAATCACTAAATTCGCCTTGAGTCTCATGCCATTAGGATGAACTTGTTAGTGCTAAGTTTGATGGATCACCTCTAGATAACCTCAAAACTAAGGCTTACAATAAAAGCTTTACCAGAAACTGACTTCTGGGACCCTACTGAGCTGGAAGCCGATGAGAAATCCCCCGTTACCACATAGACAGTGGCAATTTTACCTACTTAACTGGCCAGATACATTGTGTAGCTTTCAAAACATCCCCTTTCCACATTGTCCCCAACTTACTTTTTTCCAACTTTAGTTCACACAAAATATATGCCTTTAGGAAGCAAGTGGAAAATAATTTTATGTACCCTTATATCTGCTAGAAACAGCATTCCCATTTGAAAACAATTTTAAGAAGTCAAGCTCACAAAATGAGATTCTATCTGTAAATATAAAACAAAATTTATACATACCTTACTCAAAGTTTTGCTTTTCTTGAAAATAATTTTTTCTGACTCTTCAGTAAAGAAGATGTGTTTGTTTTTCATATTTATTTGCCTTCTCATGTCCAAGAACTTGGACTTATACTTCACATTCTTCTGTAGATACCTGACCCGTCGCTGACTGAAGTTTGAAATTCCACCATATCTGTGACCAAACCAAAAGAAGTTTACTCAAACCTTAAGTTCTATGAATTTGTTTTTTTATATGAATAGAGAATAAAACTAACAATTTTCACTATTTTTCTATTAGGAGTCACTATTTTAATTTCGTTCTTCTAAATTATGAAAATTATGAAATAAAGTTCAAAATGCAGAGGAGTTTAAGGTCTAGCTTGTATGTTACTTCTCTAGTAAATGTGAAACATCAAAGTTTGAAATATCAGCATATCTTATATAGAGCAGAAAGCAGAAATTACAGAGTAAAATGTAATAATAGTAGGAAAATATAACTCCATTGCATGTTGGGAAATATAATTTTTTCTCACAGTGAGGTGATGCCAAAGGTTCTTTAACATATATCTGGATATGTTCAAATTATCTTAAAAGTGGTCACTAAATTCTTAACCGAAATCAATCCGAACTCACCAAAGAAGCAAACCTTTATTATTAAAATAATTAGAGAATGTCTACCTGAGCTAACCATCTGACTTTTTCCATCCTAAAAGATATATATCCTGTTGTGAAGCCATCTTTGACTATGTCAAGCCTCATTAACTGCCTCTCCTACAGACTATTAGGGACTTAGGGTGTAGTATACATTTTAGCACTTATAAACTCCTCTGAACAGTTTGGTTTTAAATGTCAGATGTTATCTTCTAGCCATATTATAAACTTCCTTATAAAAAGTATATCTTTTAAGTAGAATTGGGTGCTCTAAATAGGAGAATAGTTAAGTTAAACCTTAGGTAACAAAATAAATTTCTATGTGTGTATACTAGCAAGAGCTATCCAAGTAATTTCTGAATAAAATTATATGTGAGTAGAAATAAATTCTGCTAGGAATTTAAACATGGCAATATCAGGAAAACCCTTTACATTACTAATCTTTATGATCTTTAGCTTTAAATGATTATATGAACTACAACTGCCTTGAAGTACCATATAGGAGAGATTAACTGATAGTCTTTTAAAAAAATTATTCATAGTATTATAATTCTGAGCATGTATTTCTGAACTAATTTGTATTTAATTTATGTCAACCTTGAGACCTATGTCCGTTCCTTGCTGACTTCATAATGTATAAGTATCCATTAAAATTTCACAACTAACAAAATAAGTCTCAGCCCTTAGAAACGTCCAAGACCTTAATCTTGATTTAAACCAGTGGTTTAGGTCTTTATTGTGCCTTATCTACTCACTTCAGTCTTCATGTCATATGCAATAAGCCCTTCAGTTTTCTTATATTTAATGCTTGGACATTTAATCCCAGAGAAAACTTGTATTTTCTGTACAGAGAAGTTCATAGCAGCTTTATTTGTAATACCAAAATACCACACACAATCCAAACGTCCTCCAATAGATGAAAGGTTGAACAAACTATGGTACACCCATACAACGGAATACTATTCAGCAATAAGAAGGAATGAACTACTGGTACATGCGATAACCTGGGGGGACCTCAAGGGCATATGATTAGCTCTTAGGAAACAACCTAGAGGTACAATACAGGATGGTCAATTAAACACATGGCCCCACTGAAAGGATTAGGTAAATGTATTGATAAGGCAGGGTGTTCATGGTACATTGTTGGGGGGAAAAAGCAAGGTGCAGAATATATATAGCATGATTCCATTTTTGTGTTTTATAAAAAGAGAGTAACGTGTGTATATGCACATAATCATAAAAACACACATTAGTAAACTAGGAATAATATATGCCAAACATTGCCTACCTATGGGAATGATCTGAAGAAAAGATTTTCACTCTTTACTTTTTACTTCTGTTTTGTTTGAGCTGTACTACTTTCATAACAAAAAAGAAAAAAGATTACTGCAGGTTTGAAGTTTTCATGGCATGTTCGCTATACACTTCAGATGTACACAGAGGTAGATACGTGAGATGTTAGATGAAGAGAGAACCATGCTTAGAAGTCTCAAGCTCTGGGCTTGAATCCCCTCCTCAGGAAATGATGTGATCTTGACCAAGTCAAAACCTTTGTGAGCTGCAGTTGCTTTATCTATGAAATTGGAATAGTAACACTGGATTGCTAGGAAGTGCAAATGAGTTGATACACATAAATACATCAAATGTACAGTGATATCTCCAAGATTCTTACTAACAAGAGAGGGTAGCGTTTTAATTAACATCTCAAATGCTATCAAATACATAATCATTATTAGCTATCTGAATATCAGAGAGCTTTAAAACAGCTAAAGTGGCTAAGATTTCTGGAAGACAATAGCATTTATGTATAATTACTTTTGTCCCGAGCCATGCTGGAATCCTAGAAGGGAACCACTGTCATCAAAGTCTGAATCTGGGTTTTCATCGATGTCCAGTTCATGGCTAAACAAATAAACAAAAGGTAAATAGTGATAAGCCATTACCTCCAGAGCTGACTGGTGCAGGCAAATATCAAAAAGTACACATAGTCAACCTATGCAAACTTTCCCATCCCGACAATCACCATGGTTCACAAATCCAGGAAGACAGGAAAGAGTTCTTTAATCAGGATTTTCCAAATGAAATAAAGTACCTAGCATTGTTTGGAACACAGCAGTAAGCACTCAAATCTTAAACCATGTCAAGAATTTGTCAAGAATTCTTGAACACGGTACAAATATGGATTCTCTCCATTTTCCTTTGGAAAAACACCAGTAAAAGCTGCAGCCTTAAACTAATCTCCTAGAGTGTTATCTCTAGAGGTTCTCCTTAAAAATAAACAAGTAAACATTTGAGAACTATCAACCCAACCAAAACAATTACAAAAGACAAAAACCGTTAAGAAGAATAAAGTTGTGATACAAGTGACATTAAGGAACCCAGGATCATCCATCTATTGGAGATGCCTTCTAGTGATATCTACTACCTGGGCGACAGTAACAAATGAAAATGGTAAGAATTCCTAAAAATTACCTTAAGCTCACCAACCATTTATGGAGGAACTACGAGGTCTCAGGAATATAAGTACACAGACAATCTCTGCCTCCAGGAACTAGCAGGAACTAATGGAGGAGTTAACAATCAATGTCTACCAAGTAAAAGGAACACAGTAGAGACATGCTTTTATGTGCTAAGGTACTGAGCCTCTAAAGCTTGCATACTATTTTTCTAGAAGCTGTATGGAACATAAAAGTCTTATGTGGAACACTTCATATCCTGTCAGAGAAATGAAATGTTGCCAGCCAACGTCCAAGTTCTGTAACGTCCATCTTTTTCTTGTATTTTACAGCATCAGCATTTGACCACATCCTACCTTACACTACCCTCTCCTTGTTTAATTCTATGTTCAAGGGTGTAACCAGAAAGAGTACTGCCTCTGAAAGAGCTGGGCTGGGCTCTAGCTTTAGAGCTGCTGCTGTTGCTATACGTCTGGGCAAGGCATTTACCTTTGTTTTGTCTTAGTATTCCTATCTATAGAATGAGAGCATTACATTTGATACATCTGAGGTCTACTTCAGCAATAAAATTCTGTGATAATATACACTGACTTTTGAAAAAAGATTAGAACTTCCTCCAGAGAGAGACTGTACCTACTTATACACTATTAGTTAAAAGCAGCATCCAATGATCGCTACTAAGTGTCAGATACATTACATGCTAGTTCCAGTCTTCCCAATGATCTCACAAAAAAGGCATCAGTCCCTTTTTATAGATAAGAAATTGTGGCAGAATAAGAGGCAAGAGTTGGGATCTGACCATGCTCCAAAGCCCAGGATCTTGCCAGTGTGTCTTGTCGTTTCCCCTCATAGGATCTGCAGTGTTGTAATATAACAAGCACTTTATAACCACTCACTCATGCACACAAGTGCTTATGCTAACACATTCTGGAGAGAAAGTAATATGCAACTTGCCTCCTCTTGAGTTTGCCTGGCTTATGTTCAGGTGGATCTTCTTCACTCTCATCTCCATCAACACCACTGGGATGTGGTCTTTCTTTGATCGTGTTTGCTTCTGAAGACTCCTGTGAATCTAAAGGGGCAGAGACATTGCAGTGAACTTTCCCCCTTGGTTTGACAACTCTTCTGCCATTTGCAAAGGCAACCAAAATATCTCACTGCCTTTCCTACAATGAACCGTATGTGCACGTCAGGCAAAGTGCCAGACCACATCTACCTATTCTGTGTACCTGCATGCAGAGTGTGAGCATAAACAACCAAAGCTACATCTCTTAAAGTTTCCATGATCTAACTACTTAAAAAGTGAACTGTAACTCTTACCTCACAGCTGTCCAAATCCACACAAATTAATCCATAAAGTTACCTCTGTGATAGCTGTTAGCTATCACATTTTGATAGAATTTTAATCTAAATGACTCTAAAGACAGCATGATCACACTGATTAAAAATAATTTCTCTTTATTAAGAAGCAAATACATTTAATTGTCTCTAATATAGCTCTGAAATTAATAATGGAAGCAACAGAAAGATAGGCATTTAAAAAGTATTTTTAACTTGTGGTGGCTCCAACTGAGGCACATATCTTTGTTCTCTATTTCTTCAGACTGGAACAAAGTAGTTGGGTGGGACTAGAAGGAGAGGTGTCTGCAATGTAGAGAGTGGGAAGCTTTGACTGTGTGGGGACAGACTATTTCGGGAGAACACCCAACCACAAAAAAGTAGAAAACACACTTAAAGAGAAATGCAATACATATCTTACGTTTTGATCTCAAGGGAGGATCTAAAACAAATGAAAACCTAGAATTCTCAAGCTGATCCTGATGGCAGTCACCCTGGAGCTAATTAAAGAAATGGCCAATTATATACATAACTAAGGGAACAGGCAATAGAAATGGTCAATCTATATATATAACTTAGGAAACAGGCAATAGAAGGCAGAAAGGATGAGGTTTACTACGTTTGACAAAGGAAAAAAGTAGGAAGATAAGGAAGGATAATCAAAGGGAATAGCATGAAGCAGTAAGATAGGGGCCAATACGCATATTTGTGTGTACTGACCAATAAACATATTTCAAGTTTTATGGTCAAAATAACTATGGAAAGTAATAAGGAGAGTATTGAAGAGTATCAAAAGACTAATATAAAATAATCACATAAAAAAAGGATGGAAAAAACAGCAAAAGAGAAAGGAAAGAGAACACTGTACTGACATTGTAAGAGTACAGAGAAAAGAGAAATAAAAAAGTAGATAGAGCTCTTTAGTAACTCTAAAGGAAACTCTGAACTAGATGAAGATCAGCTATCTGAGACAGCAAAGCAAACCCAATTGTTAAGTAAAAGGCCAAAACCTTTTGCTTCATACAGGAATAAGGCTGAGAAGAAAGTCCCTATAAACCAGACTTTTCCAGCACCAAACATCAAGAATGCCAAGACAACATCTTAGTGGGCTTCAGGACAAATTCAAAAGTTATAAAAAAAATTTCCTCTTCTCCCATTTTCCTGGGGCCATGAGTCGGTAGGACGCTTCTCCCTAGCAAGAGCATTCTTATTCATCCTACCCTAACTTCTCTGAACACACTTCTCACTGGCTTTTAGTCCTGACAGTGGTACCAGTCCGCACAATGATTTTTTTTTTTTAAATCACTTAGGCAGGAGTCAACCAAATTCCTTATCTTGGATATCTTATGAGAATCCTAAAATCAACCCTTCCAGTTACAAATTAATATCATGCCCTGTTGAGATTCTCTATAGAGCAAGAGTTCCCTTGTCCCAACCGAATTTCCGATATGACTCACAGTCACATTTGCCTAATGTCAAACGTGTGCTCTCAATCAATCTCTCACATGCCTCCTGGGAACTTGTAGGAGAAACTCTGACATTCCAAGCTCACTCTAAATTAGATTTCCCAAGGGATTTCCAAGTTCTAATTCACTGGCCACAAAGGTACAAGAGGAAGGAATGATACTTTTCAGAAGCCTATGCAAATATTCTTTTTATTTATACAAAAGGGTAATAAACAACTTGTGATATAAAAATAAGAGGATTAAATCATTTTATTATTATACTAGAAAATGTAAGTTGGCATTATTTAACTCTACCATAATGGACTAGTGTTAGTTATTTTGCTAAAGAGATTCATTTTGTTAACCATTACTCAGTAGGATAAATCTTGGCCAATCTTACCCTGAGCCGGTTGGTTTGTGCTTCTATTATTCCCAGACAAGCTGCTTTCCTTGGTTCCACCATTACATGGTTCATTTTGGCCAGAAGCAGGGCATTCTCTTCTGCTGTTAACTTCACTTAGCCACTGATGTCCATCACAACTTACAGAAGAATCTAATCGGCTCTGTTCTACCTCCTCTGAATTCAAACTTATATTACTAATTCCATCAAGTATCTCATTATGATCTTTATCACTTGAACTAGAGCTTTCGCTACCAACTGATGAAGATGGAAAGGAAAGTAAACCTGCTTTCATGCAATTTTCACCTTTCTTGTTGTCAACTTCTGTTTTAGACCCACAAGTATCTGTATCACAGCTTTGTGAGGCATCGAAAGTCCAACCCTGAGCTTCCCAATACTGAAATTGTTCCAAATAATACCAATAAAGTTGACTATAATGTTGTTCCCATTCTTCCTTTGTATCAGGAATGTTCCAAGGTTCAGAACATAGTGCTTGATCTGGATGTTTTTCTTGCCAGCTTTGCCATAATAGTCCTCCACCATATTCATTCCAATACTTTTCCCATTTCTCTGTAATTTCTAGCTTTGGAGATAATGTATTTTCAACAGGAAGATTTTCAGTTTCAATGTCTTTTTTGGTTTGAAGTTTACATCTTCTGGTGTTCTCATACTGTTCAACAGAAGATGGATCATCTGAAGCCAAAATGTCATCTTCTACATATTCTTGTCTCCAAGATTCTCTTATAATTTCATCTAAGTACTTCTTTTGATGCTTTTTCTTTTTCTTTTTAACTTTAACTTTATTTCTAGTATTCATAGACACCTACATAAGACAAATAACTTGAATATAAAATGCATGTCATAAACTATAAGAGAAAGTAGAACTCAAGTCTATTTTAAATCCAAGTCTATTTTGACATTAAATTAAATAAAATACCTTCAATCCCCCCACCCCGGGCTTTTAGTTACACAAAGAAGTGAATCTTACTAAGTTTCTAAGAGGAGGAAAAATCACATGTGAGACATATCTCAACTTGCAGTTTTGGTTAATTTATAAATATATACATTTAAAAAGAGGTACAGTGCTCTAATTTATCAATGGATTAGATTTGGGATAAAAAAATTCCATGTGTTATTTTATGAAGAAAACTAAGAAACAGAAATAATAAAAGTAAATTAATAGCTACCTCAAAATGTTTATGTGCAGACGTCCCACCAAACTGAAGTGGCAGCCCCATACTTCTCATGAGTTCAGCCTCAGAGTCAAGCTCACTTTCATCTAGGCCTATGCCTTTGCTGTCACGTGATTCTGTAGTGCCACCTTCCTCCTCTTCTGTGCCCTGGTCTCCTACAGACAGCATTTGTTAACTTAGTTTTAAGACAATTTAGACACAGGTTTTATCATCCTCATTTTAACGGAGAACCTGAGACACAGAGTTATTACATGACTTGCCCAAAGTAAAGGTGTACAAATGTTACAATTTTTAAGGGGAAGAAAATAAAAAAGGAAAAAAAGCAATTGATGGTAATACGGACTAGTAAAAAAACAGCCAACTAAGGCTCAAGAGACAACTTCTAGTCTGGCTCTGCCTGCCACTATCCATACAGTGGCCCATCAACTTACACTTACTGAGCATCTCTTCTGCGCCAAGCATGGTACAAGGTACTGAGGACGTAAGACGGAAAACAGCAGAGCAACCAGAAGGAAAAGATTTACATTTTCACATCCCTTGTCTGAACTAGATCAGTGGATTTAAAATGATGATTTATGGAGTTATTTTAGGAGCTGTTAATAAGAGAGGTGAGAGGTATGTCTTCAGGCCCCTAACAGGTACTTCAATCACAACAGGGATTTATGCCCTGGGACTCTGTGGGAGAACCGATTTAATGGAAGCGTTCTGCTATTAAAACTCTGGAATCCACAGAACTGGAAGATCCTTTCAAGTTCCCTGATTCTAGGTCTTATAGGAAACCTGTTTTATTATAACAAGTTTTACTTTATCTTAATATGGTTATCTAAAAGTAGATCATACCACTAATTGGACTAATGCCATTCAAATGCTCTTAAAATGTGAGACAAAAATCACTTTATATATTAGCATACTGAATTAGGGCTGAGTTGCACTCCAGCTAAACGATTTTAGGCAACAGAAAGGGGAATCTTACACAGCAAATATGGAGACTGAAAAAAAGAAAAATCTCGTGCACAAATTCTACTAAAAGAAAGAAGGAAAAAAGATCCTATCTAAATAATGAAGGTAATTCCACTCACCATTCCACTCAATGAACTTATGGAGAGAGACAGCTCAGGAAACAGCAAAATAGGAAAAGCAAATCAGCTAAGTTTTATGTTTCTCTCACAGTATGCATATTTTCTTATGTTTGGTGGGAGTCCAGTATCTAAAGAAATCTTGTTTGTACAATGTAACATTGAAACACAACCAAACATTTCATCCACTGAAGATACAGTGATTTTTCACTGTATAGTCTGTAACTCACGCTGCAGTTTTCCCTGTGTCTAGAGAAACATAAAAGATTTGCGTGGAAAGAACAAATGGGGTCCAGAAACGATGAAATCCAGCCATTTGTGACAACATGGATGGACATTGAGGGTATCATGCAAAGTGAAATAAGTCAGAGGGAGAAGGTCAAATACCGTTTGATTTCCTTCATTAAGTAGTAGATAGTAACAACAATAAACAAACACATAGAGACAGAGATTGGATTGGTGGTTACCAGAGGGGAAGGGGGGAGGGAGGAGGGTAAAAGGGATAATTAGGCACATGTGTGTGGTGATGGGTTGTAAATAGTATTTGGGTGGTGAACATGATGTAATCTATGCAGAAACAGAAGTATAATGATGTACACCTGAAATTTTTACAATGTTATAAACCAATGTTACTGGAATAAACAAAAAATTAAAAAAAAAAAAAGAACAAATGGGGTCCTGATAGTGAACTCTGAGAGATCAAAACGGTTTCCAGGTAACTAGGTGAGGCTCAAAGTATAGAACAAATTATATTTGTTATTTGGGAAAATTAACCCAGACTGTGTCCTCTTTACTTCAGGCAAAAGATATGCATGTTCACTTGGAATTTATCCTGAATCATTTATCTATACAATTGTTCAAGTATTTAACCAGGAGGCCATCAGACTGAGCTGGCTCTAATGCCTTGGTAGCCTATCCAAACAAACCAAAACCTAAGCCAGAGTCAATGCACTGGAACCTGAGAAAATGAAACCGAAGAACCACCAATCATAGCCAACTCAGCTTTCCCAAATAAGGCAACTGCATAAACTATGGCCAATCAAATGATTTCTTTGCATTGCTTCAGCATAAGACCCCTCCCCTAGCTCCTGCTGGTGGAGCACTCCTAAACACCTTTGGTTTGGCGCTGTCCAATTTGACTTTGCCCAATTATAATAATTTTGCCCAAATTAACTCTTGAAAATTTTAATGTGTCTCAGTTTACCTTTTAACACAACAAAATTCTGCTGAAGAAACTATACATTCTCTACCTTTCAAAGCTTTAAATTTCAGGTTGCTCTTATCTAACGGCGACAACTAAAGAAGGAATGCTTACAAAGGGCAAAAAGAGGCTACCTCAAGTCCACAAAGGAGTTACCTACAGAAAAAGAAAAGATCTGCCATGATAGGGATTCTAGAACCATGTTATAATAAAAAATGAGGACTGTCTCTGATTAAAGGATTATTTGCCATTTATAATATTTTATGCTAATAATATAGTATTATAACAAATTATACTTAAATTAATACAGTATTATGGTTAATTTTAGCAAAAAAGGGCTATATAGTTTTATACTGTATTACCTGCATCGTTGCCATTGCCTTTAATATAGTAGCCTTTTAATCCCAAATTGCACAATTTTCGATCTCTGTGAAGCAAATTAAACAATGTTGAAAAAAAATTAAACTATAAATTTAGAGAAAAAACAAGTTAGAGGTAGCAGAGACTAATTAGTAAAAAAGTTAAGGAACAGAAAGCAATCTCTTAATCCACTTTCCTCATCTGTAATATAGAGGTGATAATACATATCTCAAGGGGTTGTTATAAGGATTGACCGTATATGTAAAACATTCAGTATATACCACATAGCAAGCATTTATAATTAAAACACTAATTATTAAAATTAAGAGGCAGTTTTGGATATTGGGGGAAGAATCTGATCCTCCTTATGATACATAAACAATGAAATGTTCTTTAAATTTTCTCTAAGTGAGCATAAAAGTAGAAAGATTATCTTACACATATATAAATCCACATGCAGACCCTAGTCCATTTGCAAATAGGCCAAATTATCCACTGTCTAGTAAACAAAATGTTCATGGATTGGGCAAAAACTATTTTGGGGACTAACATATAATGAAGTTCTTATTTAAATATTTTATCAAAATGAAACATAAATCAAGACAAAACAATTCATTCTCAACAACTTTTAAAAACAGTGAATAGTTAAACTTTTCTTTACATATCTACTTTAAAATTTTTTCTTTGTTTACTAAGATCGGAAATTACATAACTAAAATAAACCCAACAAAAGACTTAATAATAGCAAAATCCGCCCCTCCTTTTTTTTTATCTTCCTACCAGTAAATTCAACTCCATCATAACTGCCATAGTAAGGCAAGTAATAGCTAATACTACTTTTCTAATGGAGCTACAATAAATTCAACAAAATAAAATTCTTGTGTACTTGATATATTTCATATCCTCCTGTTTATTTTTTGATACTTTACAGAACAAAGTAGGTGGTGTCTCACAACAGGACAGTGAATGGGGGAGGGGATGAATGCTAATATGCTTTGGTAGCATGCCCACTGGCCTCAAAGAACATGGGACACTAGTGGGGCGGCAGAGGGAGCAGCAGCCACAAAGAGGGCATCAATGGTGTGCCCTCCAATACTCAAGGATATGGGACACTAAGGTGTCAGGTGGAAGAGAGGGCCAATATGATTGTAAGATTGGTTACACTGAGCAAATAAGTCAATGTATTGAGGATAATGATAGCCAAGAGTCTCCCCCCGCCCCACATATTTATGTATGTAGGTAAAATACATATATATACTGCCTAACTTTGTCTGCTGAGAGGGCATAGAAGCATTGAAAACCCCGGAGCAATGAGCACAACGAGCACCCAGGACTTGGTTTCTAAATATTCTCCACTAAAAGGAACCAGGGTACCTTAGAGAAATGGCAATTGCAGGTTGGAACATGGACTGTAAAAGATATGCCTGTGTCATCTTATTGTACCAGAAGGTTAGGAAGAGTTCAAAGAATGCCAGGGACACATCAAAAGGATACAGGAGCCACCTCAACGGGCCCCCGCCAGCCAAATCTGAGACAACATGAACATCAAAATAAATAACGATAGTAACAGAATATAACCCATTAATAAACTAACAGTCCAGAGTCCATGTTAGCATTAGGTAGCATTCTCCATACAGAATGCTAACTAATAAACGTAGAAGGAAAGATGGAGACAGACAATCACTCTTTGGCAACCTCCAGAGGTAGCTGATTCAGGCAGGAACAGGGCATTGGTGCACACTGGAATACCTCCCCACAAAATAGTAATTCATATGAAGGGAACCATTGTGACTTTACAGTAAAGAAACCTGAGAAACAGCAACATGATTAGGTAAAGGAGTTCAACATCACCAATTGTGGTGTGGGTCTACAGAAAGTGCCTCCTGAAGTGAGGCAGAGCGGAGGACAGGATCATTTCTGCAGCATTCCTGCAGCTAAGGCGTGGCCTGGCTCTTTTCCTGTTGAAACGTCAGACAGACCCAGGTTAAGTAAGGTTATCCTACAGAAGGTAAGGTCTGAACCTTTTAAACTGCTGAGGACATGACACGGAGGGAAGAGTGAGAAATTTTTCCAGATTGAAGGAGACTGACAAGACATTAAGCAAACAAGTCCCTATGTGGAACCCTGGATCAGAAAGGAAAGAGAAATAGTGTTTGAAAAGTTGGGAAATTTGAATTTGAATCTACTACAGTGGTTATGTACAGGAATATCCTTGTTTTGGGGAAATATATAATGAAATATTTAGGAGAGATGGAGAATCAGGTCTGCAGCTTGCTCTCAAACAGTTCAGAAAAAGACTCATGATTGTGTGTATGTTTATAGGGAGAAAGAGATGGAATAAATACAGTTAATTGTTAACAGTTGGTGAATCTGGGTGAGAGGAATACGGATGTTCTTTGAACTATTTTTGTAAGTTTGAAACTATTTCAAAATGAATTATTTTAAAAATAATTAAAATTAAAGCCTGTTATTTATAGCACAAGTAGCTTTATAACAAAAATCTACCACTCCATCATTTTCTATTCTAGGCTTTGTATACAAGCACACAAAATTTTTACATAATTGTAATCATAGTGTAGATATTTTGTATTCTGATGTTAATTAACACAAAGCATTTTTCTCTGTAGTAACTACAGAGCCACTGTAATGATTATTTTTAAGAGTCCCATAACGTTGTCTTCTTCATATAGATAATGTACAGAAAACTGAATGTGTAGATGAAATAGAATTATTACTCTAATTACAGAGTTCATAAGACAGTATGTTAATTGTAATGTCCTCAGAAAAGAAAAATTAATTACAATACAATGTCCTAGCTCCTGCCTTTGAGAGGAAGTGTACAAATAACCTTATTTAGTACGAGAAGCAACTCAATTACTGAGAAGTTATTTGGAAACTATGCTAACACTCATTTTCTATGTTTCTGCTATGTAGTACTGATTTTTCAGTTTAATAATCTATTTTAGAATTTTGCCAACAATCAAATCTGTTGTTTTTAGATTCTGAAACAGACCTTTTCCCTACCTGGAAAATCAGGGTTACACTTACAAGCCTCTGAACTTCCAGCCTGTCTCCCACTCCTGAGGACTTCTCAACAATTCCTACTGGCAACAATTCCAAGATCATATCTCCAAGTTCTTTTTGTTCTAAAGGGTTATAATTTGTCTGAGCATTAATTCAGCTAAAGGAAAAAGTCATTCTTTTCTCTTTACTTATTTTGAAGTTGGAATGTAGTTTCTAAAAGTGAAGTAGAGCTTGTAAGTTTTAAGAATATGTACGAAATTATCTGTAATGAAGAGAGTGCACTTTTTTTTTTTTTTT